CTGTAGACGTGGTTTTCGCATAACTATGTCTTAAAATGAAGCGGTTGTGTTAAGGCATTCCGTGGCATTTTAAAACTTGGCAACTCTTTGAACAACGTACGACTCTGCGTCATTTTTTAAGCAGATATGCGTTAGAAACATGAGGACAATATTCGATGATTCAGCATTTCGTTCGTGCATTGATATAATACTTAAAACTGAAATACGATTTATTCATACATGCCACAAGCAAATGTCAATTGGATGATTAACCAGCACCGACGTTTCAGGCCAAGTCTTGTCGGTATTTTTTTAGGGCAGGGTTCATTTTGTGTAGCTCGTTTTTCGGTATGCAGCTGTTGCACCGTTTGGACGGAAAAGGCGCGCTTTTAGATCATGCTGCTAGTAAATTAGTTTTTTGGAGAACAGGCTTGATAAGGCTAGTCCAGTCCGTGCAAATTTTATACCCCTTGACTAGATTCACATTTTGAAGATTATCATGATGACGACGCTGATTTGTTTTATTGGAAAAAGTTTGGCTAATAAAGAATTTTTCAGCACCCTTTGTAATTGCTGTCTTGAATCATGGACCGGAGACGAGTTCAGTTAACTGTTATTCAAACAGACAGCTGATCACCGTCTCTTTTCATGCGTAATTGCTATTGTAATTTTTACGATATATTCGGAGGGTAAAAAAAAAGTTTTCATCAATCTTCATACCTGCTTGAAGGAATTGTAATTGCCGTACTTCTCCGCCTCTGTGACGGATGGTACAGTTAAGTTTTGCATGTAATTCATCCAGCACACTTGAATGACTGTACAGGGTACGGTAATAAATATTTTTTTGATCGTTGCGTTAGTGTACGATGAAATGAGTTATGGTGGGTTAAATATTCCCAGAGCAGGCAACGATATAAAATCTCAGCTGAAGGAAGATTGGGATAATCGGGAGTACGTTGAGGTCATATCGTTTAACGTAAAGAAAATTGCTGACTTTCTGAACGCTTTCGGTAACAACAGCTTTCGCGATATTTAGATGTGGTGCTTTAAAATGGTATGCCATTTCAGAGCTCTCTTGTCGTAGTCGTTTGGCAGTTTTGAACGAGAAGCTAAACAGTATTGAGCGAAAAATTGAATACCTAGAAGCGAGTGTAATCATGCAGTTAGAATTTGCATAAGACACCGTTTATCAAGTTATTTCAGATCACCAAGGGCGAAACGTTGCACTAAGCAGAGGTTGAATGGCAAGTTCTTTCGCTAAGCGTATCCTGCCCCGTCAAGTGAAAGTTGTAAAGTCTGCAAATCTTCATGAAGCTCGTTTAAGAGTCTTAGCTGCTTACAAGGAGTGGTAAGCTTGAATATTTCTCGGTTAGTCGACCTTGTTCAGTTTCCGATTTGTTTTGTATCTTAATGCTGTACCTTATTCAATCCATGCGTTTTCTTAACAATATACGTGATATTTCATTTTTATCACATGGTTTCTCCGAAACTTTCTGGTTTTACTGACTGCGTAATTTTTGAGTAAGTCTGCAAAACAGCATAAAACACGGTTTATGCGCAACTCAACAATATGGCCAATCGACGTTTCATCGGAGGTTAGTTTCTTTTCCTTGAAGACGGGCCGAAACTTCGGTACTTGTCATTCGTCCGACTTACCACATTTTTTTGTTGTGTAAAAATATACCGTCTTTTATTCTGTTCCTCGCTATTACCACCAATGCATGAATGAAATAAATCTTTGAGTATGGGTCTACTCATATTTCATGTTCATTTTTGAATATCGAATTTCATTTGTTTTTTAACTGTTTCGTTGCGAATTATATCTTATGGCTGAATTAGTCATCTCTCAGATGAGTAAAGGCGATTTGAAGTTGTAAAGCGAATCCATCAGATATCATGGTTGTTACATGGCTCGCAGGCTCCCAAAGTCATCACAGTTCTGTCCCAGTGGTTCGCATAGCAACAGGATATTATCAGTTTCTCAGATGCACCGGAGCACAGGTGAATAAAATTCCTTATTATAGGAGATTATGGATGAATAAGAAAATTCTACTCTATGCTTGGATTCAAGCTCTGATCATTTAAGTGTAAATCGCAATTACTACTCTCTGTTCCATTTTTACCCCATCATCACTCTTCGTTATTATCTACTGGAATTAAATGTTAAGACAGCAGATTTTTGATTTCAAGTTCCAAGTTAAATTACTTTTACTTTTTGCTGGACGATGTTGTTCGACCTCCCGTGAAACTTCTCGTTTCTCTGACTAGAAATTAACGTTTCATCCACGTAGCTTTCCCTAAACATGTATTCTTTAAATTGAACATTTTTCATGAGTGTTCTGATGTTCATTAAATGTTTAGTTTTTCGCTGTTGTTATTTTGCAAAAATTATTTTCAGTGCTATTCATATTTTAGGGTGAGGTACATCCCGACGTTAAACGACGACTACAGGTTGGGATATTCTGACCGACAGGTCAAAGACGCGATTCGAGCGCAGATTTCAAAGCATGCCCATATTAGAGATCCTCGCGTGATCGACATTTTGGCACATCGAGCAGAAATAGAGCTCGAAGAGGTGAAATTTTCTGCCACTCCGTCTCATACGCTGTATAACGTGCTTTTCCCTGAAAATTTGTGTCCTAAACCGACCGATTTTCTGTCTAAGTTTTTCTCTGGAAAGGATTAGTATGTCGGGTTTTGTGCTGTCTAGTTGTAGAATCTTATTTGCTTCGACTCGTAATCGATTGTTATACTGCCATTATTTTCGATGCCTCCCTACGATGGCGTCATTATCAACCTCCCAAAGTACGATCGACGATAAAAACTTAAGTAGGTTCCGCGAGTTGTGCAACGAATGGTGGAAAGAAGACGGTGTATTCAGACTATTGCTTTCAATGAATCAGTTACGGATACCGTGGATAAGGGAGAACGTGATGCTTCACCGCTTGAAGACAGTTAGTTTCGATTCTGAAAGGGCACCTTTGCGCGGCGTATCGATTTTGGATGTGGGTTGCGGCGGTGGCTTTCTAAGTGAAGCGCTCGCTCGAATCGGTGCGACCGTGACTGGTCTTGATGCTGAGGAGCAGAATATACAAGTAGCCAGAATTCACCAGACCTTTGACAAATCTATTGAAAAGAATCTAAATTATGTCTGTGGGACTGTTGAAAAATTCTTAACAGAGGGCATAGAAAGGTTTGATGTTCTGGTGGCTTCAGAAGTAGTTGAGCACGTAAACCATGTGCCGCAGTTCGTAAAATCATGCATTGATATAGTGAAGCCCGGGGGACTGCTGTTCTTTACGACTATCAACAGAACCTTTCTGTCATGGCTCCTTGGCATTCAGGTGGCGGAAAAAGTGCTGTCCCTTGTACCCAAAGGGGTACATGAATGGAAAAAGTTTGTACCCCCCGATGACCTCAGATCTCTTCTCGAATCCAACAATTGTAAGGTGCAGATGATTTCCGGTATGTTGCCGAACCCGTTCACCAATCACTGGTGTTGGACCAAATTGCAAGAAGTGAATTATGCTCTGTACGCGATCAAGAATAACCCGTGAACTTTGTCGCTTACATCATTGATGTGTGATTCATTGCAGTTTACTGTTCATGCATGTTGATAAACGATGAAGTTTTGTAGCGACGTATCGATTTTTAATTATGCAAATTCACTTTTGACATGTTAGATGGTAGATGATTATGTGAAATCAACGATTTCGTTTAGTAAACTTACGACCCGAAGCGATATTTGATATTTTCACTTAACTGGATGTCCGTAAATGGGTTTCATGCTTAATGTGAAATTTTTGTGACATTTGCTTGTAATTTTTTTTTATTTTATGTATTTGCATTTTTTTGAATTGTCCTTTAGTTGTGGTTCATTATTGCTTCAGGCATGGAGTTCGTCAAAATCAAATAAGTTTAAGGCCTACTTCAAGACAGATGTTTCGGACAGAATTGACATTGTCTTTCTCAGTAATTGACAGCAATCATAAAATGTTATACATGTAAATTTTTTACATTTATATTTGCAACTTGAGTTAACTATTAG